AGTTAATGACGAAATTAGGTGTCTATTGACTTGCGACCACTCAGTGTATATATCAGGTCATGTTTGACAATATTCCTTTCAACACTTAGTCATGCTTGACAATATTTTATTTCCACACTTGGTCATGCTTGAAAATATTTTATTTCCACACTTGGTCATGCTTGACAATATTTTATTTCCACACTTCATCATACTTGACAATATTTTATTTCCACACTTGGTCATACTTGACAATATTTTATTTCCACACTGGGTCATGCTTGACAATATTTTATTTCCACACTGGGTCATGCTTGACAATATTTTATTTCCACACTTGGTCATGCTTGACAATATTTTATTTCCACACTTGGTCATACTTGACAATATTTGTTTCCACACTTGGTCATGCTTGACAATATTTGTTTCCACACTTGGTCATGCTTGACAGTATTTTTTCCATATACGTAAAGACAAAAACTCAGTCAGGGCGTGTTGTTTTATTCACCATTTACTCCACCCCTAATGTAGAAGTTATAGACTAGAGGAAAGGCAGCAAGTCACCATTACCCACCGTCAACTATTGGGCTACTTTTTTACCAACTAAAAGTGGCATAGGCCGACACATTATAACGCGCCCACAAAAAAGGCGAGTATGTTTGGTGACAGGCTCGAACTCGCGACCCACAAACTGCGAGTCGAGCGCCTTAATCGTTAGATCATGCCGGGCCCCTTTCTCGTCGAAGAGCCACCCCACAGTGTGGACAACATGGCTTCCCCTATGTAATTTTCCTTCCGACATTTTTGATAGGTAAAAGAAAAAAGAATCTATCTTCGTAATTTTGTGTTGATTATAAAATGTTTTCTCAAGACACAGGTTTTAACATTACAACTGAAATTTAAATACAAATTAATGGATAATTAAAAAAAAAACTTGTTGCAAACTAATGATTTACCTTCTTAATAAGTGATCGAGTTATAGGAAAACCTGGTGTTTGGGCGAAATAATTATAACCGTAACAACCAGTTAACCATACGTTATCTATTAGTCATGCGGTAACTGCCGATACCGTCATTCACAAAAGTGACGTAAAAGGCTTAAGTTCACCTGTTGCTACTTCCGTCTCTTTCAGTGTCTAAAACAAGAGGCTTAACCATGAAAGCATAAAATACGCTTCTGTTCCTATTACTATAGAAAGAGGCGTAATTGCAATTGCAGGCCACATTCAGAAACCTGCTGGAGCTCAGTGTCATGGCCATAAAAGTTCATTGAACTCTGTAGGAAAGCTGTGGCGAGCTTCCAACACACCATCTTTTATCAGCTTGAAAGCTCCGTTACTTTTTGACGTCATACACCACAATAGCGCGACCTGTTGGTAAACCTGACCGTTGATCACAATTGTACTGGAATTGTAATTTCTCGTCTTTTTATAGTTACGCTATTTACCACGCTTGTAAGATTGCGTAACACTGTAGCAAGTTTATCCCGATTTTTTTTAATATAAATTGTTTTATTTGATAACTAATGTTCCTGTATGTGTTTGGTATATTCTATTTATAACAATGACATTTCAACCGATGCAATTTAGACTAAGCTTATACTTTATAATTATTTTTGTAAGTTTAATTTTGTGTACCTAACCGATTGTTCCCCCCCCCCCTTTCTCTCGATAATGTAGACAATTTTAAAATAAGGATTTATAATTACGTGAATCTTTAAAAGGCAAATAATAACTTCCTTTAACGGTCTGTGCCATCTTTCAGGGGTTCTTCAGAAGAAGTATACAAAAACAAATAGAATACCGATGTCTTCGTGATGGTAAATGTCTGGTAATTCGTCTCAACCGGAACCGGTGTCAGTATTGCCGCTTTAAAAAGTGTCTTGCCGTCGGGATGTCCAGAGACTGTAAGTTCATGCTGTGTATACATTGTTTTTTTAGTATCTGCGTTCTACCACGTGTTATTGTATTAGATAATACAGTTTTTAAATAATAAGCTGGTTGTATTTCTTATCGGACTCGCTGATAGCTGGTAACGGTTAGACGTTATGTTGAAGTGATATACTTGATACAAAAAATACAAATGTTTTACTTACCCAGTCTAATAATATGATATAAGGAATCTAAACATGATGCAAGATACATTTCTTGACTTCACTAGTCTCGATTGTATGCTAAAAAATATATAGCTCGTCGCTTGTAAAATCATTTCAACAAACTTTTTATTCTCGTGGCCCAATCGTAATGCAGTTATACATTCTTTTCTTTGATACTTTGTAACCATAGCAACGGGGATGATACTTTGTAACCATAGCAACGGGATGATACTTTGTAACCATAGCAACGGGATGTCCTGTACGAGTATTCTACGGAAAAACTAACCCATGTTGTATTTCTGTTTAGTTCAACCAGTAAAAAGTCTTAAAACCCTATTTTCGAAAAGTTAAATATATACAGAGAGAGAGAAAGACATACTAACATCTTATTATGTCCATCAACTGTCCCTAATTTTGCAGCAATTTATCTTTTCCAACATGATTATAATAGAAAGAACGCTTCAGAGACGTTTATGAAAACATTTGTTTATGTACATCGTGTTTATGAAAACATTTGTTTATGTACATCGTGTTTATGTAAACATTTGTTTATGTACATCGTGTTTGTGAAAACATTTGTTTATGTACATCGTGTTTATGAAAACATTTGTTTATGTACATCGTGTTTATGTAAACATTTGTTTATGTACATCGTGTTTATGTAAACATTTGTTTATGTACATCGTGTTTATGAAAACATTTGTTTATGTACATCCTGTTTATGTACATCGTGTTTATGTAAACATTTGTTTATGTACATCGTGTTTATGAAAAGATTTGTTTATGTACATCCTGTTTATGTAAACATTTGTTTATGTACATCCTGTTTATGTAAACATTTGTTTATGTACATCGTGTTTATGAAAACATTTGTTTATGTACATCGTGTTTATGAAAACATTTGTTTATGTACATCCTGTTTATGTACATCGTGTTTATGAAAACATTTGTTTATGTACATCGTGTTTATGAAAACATTTAGGTTCGTGAGTTTATCTGTATATTGGAGAAACGAATAGAAGTGGTAACGCTTAATTACTTTTTTTTTCGGGTTACTCATTGGGCCTGCTCCAAAATTAAGAATGACCTCGTGAATCGCCGTGGTTTTGGACACTTTGATAATACCGATAGATATTTAATACACTGAAATATCAATAATTAAGTCCTTACGTTAAAATATGACACCTTTTTTTTTCTTTCAAACTGGTACTACATTTTATGAACTATGGAAAGTTTGTTTGTTGTTAAACCCAAAGCTATACGATGGGCTATCTGTGCTCTGCCCACCGCGGGGATTGAAACCTGAAACTGTGAAAGGTGTTTAATTTTAACATAGAGTATAATAAAGTTTTACCTGCTTATGTTTTCTGTATCACAAAAAAAAAAATGGGGGAAAATTTCAACAATTTTTGTTTTTTTATTAGTCACATCCTATCATAAATATGAAGTATTTCAGTTAAATGTTTTCAAAACGTGTGTTACAAAATAGTTCTGTATATAGAATCTACAATGACATACTTACCACAAATGTGTTATCGTCTGTTTCGTCGTTTAATACTAGATCATGTTCGTCTGATTTCTCACATCAGTTTGTTTTTTACTGGTTACTTACATTTTTTTGTTTATTTGTTTTAGTTACGTTCCCAGTGGCGCGCCAGAGCTTATAATTTTAGAATTTTGGATTCTCTCCGTTAGGGGGAACAGTGTAAATATCCCATTGTGTAGATTTTCGCTTAAAAACAAATAAAAACTATCACTTAATTTTTTTCTATGCATTTAACGTGAATTCAGAGGGAAAAGATATTCAGAATAGAATATCAACGTGAAAAAAAAGGGGTGATTTTACAGGTGGCTAAATGTACATATGTGTAGAAATATGAAATTTTTGGATAATAATGTTCATTTACTATCGGTCCCTAGAGTGTATACAATATACACTAAAAGAAAATTCAACAACTCATTCTAAGGTTTCTCTTTTGACGCAACTACACCATTGACAAGTTCTCGATATCACGTAAAGAGTAACCCTAAGTTACATGACACCATTCTTGAAAAGAGTTTGGGTCACGTAAAGAGTTACCCTAAGTTACGTGACATCATTCTTGAAAAGAGCTTGGGTCACGTAAAGAGTTACCCTAAGTTACATGACATCATTCTTGAAAAGAGCTTGGGTCACGTAAAGAGTAACCCTAAGTTACATGACATCATTCTTGAAAAGAGTTTGGGTCACGTAAAGAGTTACCCTAAGTTACGTGACATCATTCTTGAAAAGAGTTTGGGTCACGTAAAGAGTTACCCTAAGTTACATGACATCATTCTTGAAAAGAGCTTGGGTCACGTAAAGAGTAACCCTAAGTTACATGACATCATTCTTGAAGAGTTTGGGGTCACGTAAAGAGTTACCATAATTTACGTGACATCATTGTTGAAAAGAGCTTGGGTCACGTAAAGAGTTACCCTAAGTTACATGACATCATTCTTGAAGAGTTTGGGGTCACGTAAAGAGTTACCATAATTTACGTGACATCATTGTTGAAAAGAGCTTGGGTAACGTAAAGAGTTGCCATAAGTTACGTGACATCATTCTTGAAGAGTTTGGGGTCATGTAAAGAGTTACCATAATTTACGTGACATCATTGTTGAAAAGAGCTTGGGTAACGTAAAGAGTTGCCATAAGTTACGTGACATCATTCTTGAAAAGAGTTTGGGTCACGTAAAGAGTTGCCATAAGTTACATGACATCATTCTTGAAAAGAGTTTGGGTCACGTAAAGAGTTACCCTAAGTTACATGACATCATTCTTGTACCCGTTTCAGTTTCCATGGAACTTCTACTGAAACATGGAGTCTTCGCGCAATTTTTAACGCGAAAAAGCTTCTATTTCTACACGTTTGTTATGTGGTATTTCTGTCCCGAGAGTCATGAATACACTTAACCCACTACTACTGAAAATAGTATGTCTCTCTCTACTCTTATAGGCATTATGGTGGTATGGTACTATCTGATTGGTTGGATGACAGTCAGCCACAATATAAACTATCAGCACGTGACTGTATTCTGATACAGTTCATTTTCACACAATAATAGTTATGTAATTCAAGCATTGTGAGGCAAGACTTTTTTTTTTAGGGGGGGTAAGGAAGACTATGGGGATTATGGGTTGGCTCTCGTACATAAACAGATCCCCTTTTATTCGTATTTAGTCGGTCTTATAAACACTTTTAAAACCTAACACTAGACAATGAAGTTTTGTGTATCAACATTTAATGGCATATCACAGTTAATTCTTTCACTCTAAAATGCTGCAAATTTCTATGTGACATTCATTATAAATTCTATTTTTTCCCCTAATTTGCAGTAAGCAAGATGTGGAATTAGGCACGTCTTTTAGTAGATGTAAACATTTTTTATGACTAAGAAAAAGGACTTTTTTGAGCGTAAGAGGAGAAAGCTGAGGTCACCCCCTGTGCAGTAATCTTACGTTTGTATTCTGTAACCATTTCATTCTTTGCTTTCGCAATGATTTTTCAAAACTGATATACATAAGCCTATGTGTTTTACATATCTAACCTTAATACAACAATCTTCTCTAGCTGTTCGATATGGTCGAGTGCCAAAAAGGTCGAGAGAACGAAATGATGACGGTCGAGTTACTCAGGCCGAGGCTGACCAGTCGGCGAGAGAGTTCGAGAACAAACAGTTGGCTATGTATGATATTATTCTGACTATTTCTCAAGCCCACCATGCCAACTGTGCCTACACAGAAGAAAAGACAAGAAACTTAGTTCGAAAACCAGCAATATTTGTTAGTGGCTGTATTTATTATTTATCAAAATACCGATGTGGTCATCGTAAAACCAATTACTTGAACAAAAACAAGTTATTTTTAAATTATCAAGCTATTGACGCTCTACAAATATACAGAATAATTAATTCAAAATAACAACAACGTGTGCAGCAAGCAAGATATTATTTTAATAACTACGATGTTTCGAAACATATCAATTTATCATTAGGCAAGAGTTACGTTCAAAAAGACAGCTGAATTTTGTAAGGTTCTTTCGAATTAAACTGCCTGTTTGTAATGTAACTCTTAACTGGTGATGACTCCATACTATGGGTTGTAATTATTAAAATAACATATTACTTGCTGTAAACGTTGTTGTTATTTTGAATTAATTATTCAGTTCAGTAGGTTCATCATTAAACCTAAAGAATAATAGTGTTTGGCTTTATGCTTTTATTTGGCTCCCAAACATTTGTATTTCACCCACACGATTATTTTTATGTAATATTATAAACATATGAAAAACATAAGACAACGACTATATTTTTATGGTTATAATTAATTTTAATAAAATAAAAAAGTAAACAAAATATGGTAATAAAGTAGGCTTCGAACTCCCTTGAAACGCGTAGAATTTAATCACTTCTGTAGAGAAATGTTTTCTAACTTTATTGATATTAAAAGCTTTATGTCGCAGTAAATGTTATAATATAATTTGTTGTGTTCTTAATAACCAGAAACAAAAGTTAAACTGAAAACTAAAGAAAAGGTTATTATAGACAAATACGTTTTGGATACGTAGTTAAACCTAATTTGTTTTGTTCTTAATAACAAGAAACAAAAGTTACACTGAAAACTAAAGAAAAGGTTATTATAGCCAAATACGTTTTGGATACGTAGTTAAGCCTAATTTGTTGTGTTCTTAATAACAATAGACAAAAGTTACACTGAAAATTAAAGAAAAGGTTATTATAGCCAAATACGTTTTGGATACGTAGTTAAGCCTAATTTGTTGTGTTCTTAATAACAAGAAACAAAAGTTACAGTGAAAACTAAAGAAAAGGTTATTTTCGCCCAATACGTTTTGGATACGCAGTTAAGCCTAATTTGTTTTGTTCTTAATAACAATAAACAGAAGTTACACTGAAAACTAAATAAAAGGTTATTATAGCCAAATACGTTTTGGATACATAGTTAAGCCTAACTTGTTGTGTTCTTAATAACAATAAACAGAAGTTACACTGAAAACTAAAGAAAAAGTTATTTTCGCCCAATACGTTTTGGATACGTAGTTAAGCCTAATTTGTTTTGTTCTTAATAACAAGAAACAAAAGTTACACTGAAAACTAAAGAAAGGTTATTGTAGCCAAATACGTTTTGGATACATAGTTAAGCCTAAGACAACTTTCATTTTGCAGAGTTTGGACGAGTTTCAACCGACAACGACAGGAGCTGATGGAAACGGACAAATTACAGCCGACAGCTTACAACATCAAAAAATCGTTATGTGGCAGCATTTCGCTGTGCTGGTCACTCCGACCATTCAGAGGGTAGTAGAATTCGCAAAACGTGTCCCTGGATTCCTCGACTTAACCCAAGATGACCAACTGATCCTCATCAAGCTCGGTTTCTTCGAGATCTGGCTGGTTCACATCGCCCGGATGATCAACACTCTAGAAAATAGCGTAACTTTCAGCGACGGAAGTTACATCACTCGTCAACAGATGGAGCTAATGTTTGATGTAAGTAATTCTAATAAGTGTGACCTCGAAATACATTTTGTTTTTGTTGAATGACTTCCCTTTTTTTAGTTTACATCAATTTGCTGCTTTTGATGGAATCATTTTGGATATCCTACCATATTTTCTTTCAGCATGAATTTGTTTCTTCTTTGTTCAACTTCGTTGTGACTTTCAACAATTTGCAGTTGAACGACACAGAAATCGGGCTTTTCTCGGCAGTTGTTCTTTTGAATTCAGGTAAGAAATGCAACGTTTGTTGTTGTACACTGGAAGTAAATTACAGCCTTTCAAACATTTTGTCCATGGTGTTAGCTCCCGATAATGAAAGCATAGGTGTAGGTAGCTAGAAATGGGGGCCAAAGACCCCATGTCCCCAGATTTGTAATTAAAAATGAATAGTTGTAGTTAATTCAGATCCATAAATTAAATTTCATGAATCACATATTTATCCAACTCTAGTTATCTGAAATATACATCTTTAAAGCTCTGAACAAGAGATGGCAACATGCTGAAAGTACTTAATCAAAAGATTCCCTTTATTTAAGTTTTTTCCTGTTCAGCTCTGTTTGTGATATTGTCAATATTACATGAAGTTTTCTTACGTCTTAATCCAATACTTTACATCTTAGGTGTAAATTAAAATCTGTTATATGCTAAAAGTCTTGTACTGAATTTTATATCCACAATGTATACCAGACGTCCTCCCCAAAAAATACACTTGGCTCAACCAACTACGAGAGCTAACACCCCCCCTCTGTAAATTCTTTTCGTTTACTTTCTTTGACTAACGTTTGATAACATTCAGTATTTATTACAATAGAGAGAATGGGTATCTATGACAACAAAACCATCGCCCAGCAACAGGAAAAGCTGATGGAGGCCCTGAAACTCCAGACTGGACGCAACCACCCCAGTAAGCCTCATCTTTTTCCTTCTCTCATGATGAAGCTACCAGAGATGCATTCTCTTGGAGGAAAACACGTGGAACACCTTCAGTGGTTTCGAGGCAACTGGACAAGACTTAAACTCCCTCCTCTTTTTGCCGAGATTTTTGATATACCAAAATATGAAGAAGATTTAGTACAATGATGAAGCTGGTAATAGATAACTCATGATTTTTTTCTTTCTAATACATAATAAGGTCAAATTCTAATTCTTTTACGTGTTTAAGTAGAGAACATTAGATCTCATGAATAATAGAAGTCAGAACAATTCAGAGTTTTAAGCGAATTTTTCAGTATAAGTTCACAGAGAAGCTTACATTTTGTTTTAAATCTTATGTTGCTCAAGATGAAAAGGGCTTAATAGTAATAACCAAATGTAAGGCAGGTAAGACACATGCTCATCAAATTATTGTGTTGGGTGACTGGCATACATAAATTATAATGAAAAAACTTGTGATTTTATAAATTACATATTAATTCAGTTTGTTTAGATAGGAAGTTAAGGACAGATATTATAAATTAAAAGAATATAAATGCGAGAAATTAAAAACTCATCAATACAAGTGGATATTTCAAAAATAATTGTTTTTAATACCACAACTGGTCTAGAAAGGTTAACCATTCTGTAAACAACTTTCTTTTGCAGATATACACAGTAGACCAGTATATCGTCCACTCTTGTGTTATAACACTTGGCAGGTCCAGTTATTTCAGCTTCCAGCACTGCTCCATTCCCAGCATTCCATGTTCTAGACAAAGGACAGATCCTGGGACCAGGATATTTTTCATATTTATTTTGTTCGCATAACTCACCAACACGTTTCATCCGAGCACAGAAATTACTGGTCGATCAGTTTTTTTTTTTTCACACTCATCAGTGTTGTTTGGGTTGGTGAAGGATGGAAACTTGACATTACTTGTGTGACTGTTGTTGAGGTTTCGTCCATTAATCAGTCCAATGATGAACAATTGGTTGTTTTTCTTGAATACATTAGACTACAACGTTTATTTTTTAATATCTTTGTTGAATAACTATTGTAAACAATTTGATAGAGCTCTAATATTAGTAATAAAAGATATTACTTAAAGTACATTTTGGTTGCCTTGGTTTTTAACAAGATATATATACGTGACAGTGGTCATAAGGTGTATAAAAAAAAAACAAAATAAACAGAACAAAGTGTAATAAGAGTAAGGATGATTACCGTATGAACGTGAAACACTAGGAGAAAAAAACACAAAGTATATAGAATAAGGCATATATATATGCCTTATATAGATATAGATTATATACCTTATATAGGTATATAGATTTAAGAATAACAACGATTACCGTATGAACATAAAACACTAGGTGTATGAAAAACAAAATGTATAGAAAAAAGTGAAATAAGAATAACAACGATTACCGTATGAACATAAAACAATAGATGTATAAATAAACAGAAGTGTAATAAGAATAACAATGATTACCGTATGAACAACAAAATATATAGAAAAAAGTGTAATAAGAATAACAACGATTACCATATTTCTGTAAAACACTAGGTGTATGAAAAACAAAATGAATTGAAGTGTAATAAGAGTAAGGACAATTACCGTATGAACGTGAAACACTAGGACAAAGAGAGAAATTGCACAGTAAAATAGAGAATATTCTTCTAAAAATGTTATCATGATATCACAAGGTTTGACCATTATTATCAAACTAGAGAAAACTGACATTTACCAGAACTGTCACGTGTATTTTAATGATTATCATACAATGTATAAAACAGATAATGACAAAATGTTACAGTACGTAGACCACCAATGCGAAAAGATATTCAGTATTTGTTGTTGGCGATATAATTCCTGGTAAAACAATAAGTAAAGAATACAAGAAATGTTAGGGAGTCTTAAATTGTTTTAATTCATATGTGCTGAAGTCTTCTGTGGTCAATTTTCTCCAGCTGCACTAGCCTGAAGCAGGTTAAGTTAAAATAACATGTACACTATGAAAACAAACAGGATAATTTGCTATTAAGTACTATGGATTTTATTAATCACATTTTTATTTGTTTTAAAAATAAAACCAGTAAGATTCCATATTTGCAAAGAAAATAAGTTTTTTGTTCCTAATACATTCTGCAGTGTTACATTTAATTTATATTCACGTAATGGGTGATAAATTACGTATTTAAAACTTCTTATTTTATGTAAAAATCACTTTATGCTTATATAATTTAGAATTTATATAACCAACAAAACTTTTTAAGCATGGCATAATGGCTCCGTGTTTTTTTCCCAAGTATCTTCAAATAACTTTAGAATAATACAATAAACAAAACGCATGATTATTTACATAATGAAAAATTAACTTCTGATACACACTTTTCAGAAATATATAACCTATTCATTTTTTCTACACAAAATTCAAAAACTGTCAATTTTCTAATGTTAACAAGATAGCCTATATTATTATCATCATAGTGGTGTATTTATAGTGTTTATCAATTCGTGAAGTCCTTACAGACATAAAAGGATACGGTTTCAATTGTTCTGCAAATGACTTAACTTCGTCCGCTAGAGCATCCTATGAAGAAGAAGTAGAATGCAGTTATCTTCAGTCTATTAATAATCTCATCAATAAACCATAAATTACTGAAAAAACAATTTATATCATTATATAGTTCCTAAATTACCTTTCCTGGCACATCTCTTGCAACAACTAATTAAAACACTAAAATACAAACGATTCTAGAAAGTCAAAATATTCAACCCGAAATGTAAAGAAATCTAATTTTAGGTTGTTTTTACCTATTTCACTTACACAGACCTTTTAAATGAATAAAAAGGATACTTCCTCAGTAAGCTACTAGATATTAAGAGTTCGGCTGGATATCAAACTAAATGTTACTAGTATAAACATTAAATCATAAAGCAAGTTCTGAAAATGGTAGGATTGATATGTATAGAGGAATGCTATTAAAAATCAAAATTATTTAAACATCTCTGAATTCTCCATAACTTGAGCTGCTACATTGGTATCCGTGTTACGTTTAGCAAATTATAAGACCAGTGTGGAACGACTACAAAAGTAAGGTCTACAAAGCCACAAAACTGGAGGTTGAGAAGGTTTGTTTTAATTCAGTCCCATCTCTGTGTGTGCTACTCTAGCATCAGAGATACCATAAATAAAATACTGTTTCGTTGTTGTTCTCTTAACATCTATAGGTGCTGTGCTCAGACAGGACAGCCTTTAAGCTTCAATAACACATTAATACTCCATATTTCAAACACCACACTGACTATTTACTGAAAGTTAGGCTAAAATAACAACGTTCCTGTTTGCTCTACAATAACATTTTTGGGATCTTACCAAATCCTTTGATACACATTCTGCAACCTTAGGTTTGTGTATCATGAAATCTCACACTATATACAATGAATACAACAGAACTGCTACAATATTACACAATCAAGAATGACTTCCAACAAGACTACAGCATTCTTGTACCATTCAGAATGAATACACTTTATAGAATGATTACAACAGAACTGTTACTATCTTACACTGTATAGAATGATTACAACAGAACTGTTACTATCTTACACTGTATAGAATGATTACAACAGAACTGTTACTATCTTACACTGTATAGAATGATTACAACAGAACTGTTACTATCTTACACTGTATAGAATGATTACAACAGAACTGTTACTATCTTACACTGTATAGAATGATTACAACAGAACTGTTACTATCTTACACTTTATAGAATGATTACAACAGAACTGTTACTATCTTACACTGTATAGAATTCAGTTCTGTTGTAATCTACTATCTTACACTCTATAGAATGATTACAACAGAACTGTTACTATCTTACACTCTATAGAATGATTACAACAGAACTGTTACTATCTTACACTGTATAGAATGATTACAACAGAACTGCTTCAACCCTATTTATATAACTTTGTATGATAAAATACTGTTTGTTCGAGTCACTAATATTTCTTATTCTTCTAGCACAACAAAATAAATGTACGTTCATAAAAGCTTTATAAATATATGATGCATTAACAAGACAAAATATTTAGAAGTTAGAACTATGATGAAACTAGATAGTTTTAAAGGGTGAGAGAGAGGAGCATATAATTATAAAATCATTACACTGACCTGACCAGAGGGGGCGACCACACTCAGCTCAACTAAATGAGACTGAGATATAGGCTCTAGGTTTTTTGGGTTTCCTTGTTGAAGAAGCTGTAAAAAAAAAAAAAGACAGTTGTTGGTTTTATTTTAACATTAGGGTGTATATAAAAAAAGAAAAGATTTTCAAGTAACACAAAAAAGAAACTATTAAATACTTTATTCTGTTGATAAACAGATGATCCTGATATCAAATGAATTATTTAAAAAGAACACAAAATAACATTAATATGGTAGTCTTTTATCCAAACTTGTAGACAGATCTTTTTTAACACTGAAAGAAAAAAAAAGGGTCAAAGTATTTGCCTGGAATAAATAATTGTTATTGAATGAAAATATTCAATCTACTCTATATTACTGTAAGCTACATTTTTAATGATAAGGTCAAGTAAGTTTATTAAGATAGTTCTAAATTACCTAAAAATATTGGTGATCGAGAACTTTGCAAAGTGTCTAGAAACAAGGCTACTTTATAAGTATGAGAATCAGTGAAGCATTTGGTCAGTTTCTCACTTGGTAGAGTGCCAGTCAAAGTTAAGCATTCAGAACAGTGTTAGTTATCATGTTATTCGATTGAGTAGCCATGAAATTGTATCAGTAGTTTTACTTGTGCATTAGTCATAGTATCATTACTGAGTAAATCTCTGCTGAAAGTGAAAACGATATTTATGAACTTAGACCTACTGTATTATTGATGATACCTTGAAGCAAACATTAATAAAGAAACAAACACATTTGTTATTTTCATTTCTTTTGTTGTGAATTGTAAAAGTATTTGTGTGTTAAATTACATCTGTAAAAGCTACAGAAACTGCCTTCAATGAGAAGACATCAACTAACTGAAGATAAGGTATAAAAGCTACAGACACTGCCTTCAATGAGAAGACATCAACTAACTGAAGATAAGGTATAAAAGCTACAGAACTGCCTTCGATGAGAAGACATCAACTAACTGAAGATAAGGTATAAAAGCTACAGAAACTGCCTTCAATGAGAAGACATCAACTAACTGAAGATAAGATAAGTAAGTTTAGAGATGATTTGAATAGGTAACAAAGAAAACTTTCTTAAAAGTTTAGTGCAGTAACCAAAGTAGAATGTTTGGAGAAGATTTTGTCATCATCAGACTTAAGTAGTTTACCTAGACACAGGAATATATTTAAACAGTGAACCAAAAAAAGTCACATGAATAGAGACTGCTTAAGGGCTAATAAAGATATCTTATCGATGTTTGGTTCTTTGTTTAAAATTACAATGTTTTTACTTTTTAATAAACATACTATGGCTTCATTGAATTTTAATGTTTGTAAAAATGCATTTTTTTATTACGATCACCAAATAAAATAAAATTGCCATCAAATTAGGTAAGTTAATGTCTGGTGAGAACAGCAAGTGACTGCAAAATATTATGATGACTCAAATCTTTATTTAATATCATTTTTATATTTATTCTATTCAAATAATGTACATAAATAAACTATTATTAGTACTTGTAATCATGACAGTTGTAAAATGTGAGAAAATATTTTTTTTTTGCTTTTACAGGTTGTAGGGGTGAGTGGTGAACTAATCAATTAATCTAATGTAATTGATTAATAAGTCTGTCAATTAATCAATTATCAACTACCACTAGTTGCCCAGCTCTAGCATGAACTATTCTGTCAACAGGTGAGTTTCCTGAAACAGCAGAGAGGGAAGGTCTATAGATCCATTGAAGATTAACCCTCTCATGGCGGGCATTGTTTTCTGCATATGACACAATGTTTTAGTGAAGTAAGTTCAAAATTTAATTATACTACTTTCTTGTCATGATATGCCAATAAATATAGCATAAAAACATAGCTAATAATCCATATTTTAATAGTATGTACGTTTTAGGTTCTTACTTTTATAAGACAATATTAAAAACAATCTAGAATTTCCATAGTGTGAGAATTGTGACATTTGCTCTCTATACACCTCTCTTCTCTAATTTATTTACCACCCCTCCAAGAAGTATGAAAATTTACGTAAATTACTTATTATAATATCATCATCACTCACGCAAAGCATAATTTTCATTACCTCAAATCTTATTTGGTTTCAGAGCTATGAAATTGACAACCAGACCCCTCTTTACAAGCCCACCCTTCACATCCTCTCTTTTCAGAAATTGCCAATAGTTCTCTCCGACATTCAATGATATAGTACTTATAACTAATGGAAAGCCATGGTTTTCATCTATCAAATGACATATTTTATTATGTTGTTTTCAGTAAAGAGAATTGTAAATTTCCCTTTCAGCTCAAGCTTGATTCCCATGGGAAACACATTGAAAACCTTAGATGAAGTTTTAACAGCTCTTGATGCATAGTTACAAAGCCAGAAACATTGTGATAGTTTTGGGACATTGTCTGCTTTTTTATTATTCTGTGTTCTTTGGTGCATTATTTAATTAAATGAAAAAATATTCAGTGCACTAATACTATTAATAAATAATGTAGGGTTAAATGTCATCGACAGTTGACAGAAAAAAAAAGATCCAGGTAAGTATTTTTTCTTTTTTTTCATGTGTATTCTTTATTTATTATTGTAAAAGTAACTAAAATGTAAAAATAGCAAACATTTTATGTTAGTTAAGGCTAGATTAGGTTAAACAAATAATAATAATAAAGTTTTTTCAAAACGTACACTCGTGAGCAACACACAATTAGATTATTAACTTATAATGGCCAGAATAGTAGTTAGGGTTCAAAGGTCAATGAAACAATAAAATTTAAATATAAATAGATGTATATTGTTTCGAGTTTGAAACTATTTAGGATAAACAAATGTAGTTTCATATTACAATCTGAAGTAATTCTAGAAAGAAAAAAAAGGGTAATTTACATTTATTTCGATTGATTTTGGTGATTATGAGGTCAGTCAAATTCACCAACCTTGAATAGAGCTAGGGTAGGGAAAATAATGGATAAAATATAAAGTTTGACTGAAAACAAACATTTGAAATGTATTTAGGAGGTTTTAGAGATTACACAAATCAAATCTGAGATTTTTGATATGAAGAAAAGTATTTTTAATCTTAAAGTGGAAATCACTTATCACTTGGACTAGAATATAGAAATACTATATATATTCACAGACAAATCCTTCATTAAAAAATCTGATTTTTTTTACATATAAAAGACTTGTAATGTTTATTAGAAGTCTGCCAAATTTTGTGAAGATACAAGAAGTGTATTAAAAGTTATGTTATGGAAACTATAAGGAGTATAAAAGTGGTTACAAGGTCAATCAATTCAACCGACTTTGTTGCGAGAGAGTTAACTCTGTCTAGAATTGGCCAATACTAAAGAACCTGCATGAGATAAGAGGATCTCTTGAACTGTGCTCTTACTATCGTTATTTTGTAAAATTTATTCAATTACATAACTCATCCTTTAAACAAATTACTTTAAAAGCCAAATAAGGTTTGTTGAACTTCTGATTGAAGTATTGCAGAAACGGAAGAACAAACTTAAGATCCACTCGTTTTAGATACAGAAGCCAGTGTTGTCACATACATTCGAAAGCACTCTGTCATCTCCACAACCCTACAACTGCTGGACTGTTTAGATATTAAAAAGCCACTGGAGTAAAAAAGAGAATGTTTATATTGGGTTGGGTGCCTGGGATCAGTAGAGAACGGGCATAAAACATGCAAACTATGCTGTGAGCAAAATAAGGTCCATGAAAAAAACAGCATGGGCAGTTACAACAGTATTGTGTTGGAGCACCACTTGAGAGCTGCTGTTGATATGCTTGGTCCTCTGCCACAAAATAACAGCGGGAATAAATACATCATGGTTGTGATGGACTGTTTCACAAAATGGCCAGAAGCATATGGTGTTCCCAATGAGGAAGCAGAAAGTTGTTTCGTTTCAAGACTTCGCATGTCTACGGAATTCAGATCAGGGATGCAACTTTGAATCAGCCTCGTTTGCAGAAACGTGTTAAGTTTTTGGGACTGAAAGTTTAGGACAAAATTCCTTCATCCATCTTCTGAGATGTTAAATTAATTAGCCATTTATGTGGATGAACGTCTGAAAACATGGGGTCAAAATCTTCCACTGTTATTGATGAGTTATTATACAACAGGCGATACACCATCATTACTGATGTCTAGGAGAGAACTTGAAGTGCCATTAGAGTTTCTAAACTCTAAACCCAAGAATGCTCATGCAGCAGTCTTATACAAAATAAGCAGACGAACTAAGGAACACCACTGACATCAAACATGACTTTATCTGGGAGAGACTTATATCAGCTTATGATAAAAGGAAAAGTTGTTATGGTGTTAATGCTGATAAGCCTGGATTTCCTTGAGGTAACGTGTAACTGTACAATCCCCACTGCAAAGAAATTAAATCCAAAGTTAAGCAGGTGTTCGGAATGACCATATGTTATACTGAAAGAACTAATGATGTGATTTACAGAATCCAGAGATCATTTACCTTGATCAGCTGGAAGTATATTGGTGAGACAACTGGGTAGCTCTAGAGAAGAACTTGTCAGGGGAAACTCAACCTGCTGAAGAGCCCTTGAAAAGATCACTTTCAGAGAATCAACAAAGATAGAGCCATCACTGGATTTGATCAACCACCTACCAATGAACTCCTTAAGTGACAGAGCAGCAAGTAAATACAAGAGACAAAGCCACCTCATCTGTATACTATGGGCTTCAGAGTAGAGAACCACCAAAAAGACTTGGTACATGGACAGTTTAGTGAAGCGTTTTATTTTTGTACCTGGATTGTTCAAGAGTCAGTGTTGTAAGCTATATTTTTCAATGTTTTAATTAAGATCAAATAAGTTCATAAAAGTAGTCCTAGAACACCTAGGATGCTTGTAAAAATTACTGATCAACAGACTTTGTGAAGTGTCTAGAAACAAAATTACATTATAAATACAAGAATCAGTGAAGCATTGAGTCAGTTTTTCAGTTGGGGAGAGTGGCAATCACAGTGAAATACTCAGAACAGTGTTAGTTATTGCATATATCCAGTTACTTGATCAATTAGCTATGAAATTGTACGAGTACGTTCAGCTGTATCTTAGTCGTAGAACCACTAGTAAGTAACTCTATTGAAAGTGAAAACATTATTTGTGAACTGAGGCCTACAACTGTTTATAATTGACACTGATAGTAGCCTGTAACAAACATTAAGGAAGAAATAAACAAATCTGTTATTATTTAATGGACTAGACTTTGCACTATTTTTACCAAATAACCTAAAAGAACTCTCCCAATGAAAACAAACATTATAACACTATTTTATAACATACAACAAATTTATGTTAATGAGAATACTTTACAAACTTATATCTTACCTGATAGACTTTAGCAACTATAATTTTCATTCTTCCTTTCCTAAAAACTTGTCCTTTCAATACAAACTCAGATTCCAGTCTAGAATGTAAGAAACGAACGAGCAATCAGCTATTATTACGTGAACCTTATGTTAAATACTACTTATTTACTACATAGAAACAAAAATACCAAGATAACTTTTCATGATGTTATTAAAACACGTAGGTTCAAGAAGTCTTGGTAGAAATGAATACAAAACCTATAACCCGAGCGCTTTTGAAAGTGCTCGAGTTATAGGATAAATTTTGTTGGTATAAAACCATCAATAACTTCAAAGCAACTCAGTAAACTGTTTTAACCAATCTCTTACAATTCATATTTATCATTAGAAATAATAACAACTATTTTTTGACATAAGTAGTGTGAAAAATGTTTATGTTTAATGTAATGAACAAGAATAGTCGTATTACATTCACAACAATTGATACATTTGTGATAATAGGTATGGTACAGATGCTAAGCAACCACAACTGTGCTTTTCAAGTACGATCAATTCCTGATCAGCAACATGTTTCATGCTGCATACAGTGCATCCATTAATGTTCCTGTGTCATACCAGTGAATCTTTTTTCGATCTCATACGCAAATTATTCTAATAATCACACCAAATTTTCGTATGAATATTTTGTAGTAAACACAGACTGTACTGCTTCTTTCTATAGCCAACTAACAAGATTGACAAAGTACGTGATCTGTTTTTATGCATTAAGGTTACTTTTAGGCACCATCCAGTACTTTGATAGTTCATATAATTTTAAAGTTCATACAGAATAATTATTAAAATCATCTATCTAGTGTTAGATTGACAAAAACTATAAAAATTCTCAAGACAGTTTATTTAAAATTGTGAACAAGCAGTTTCTTGCTGTTGGTCAATTATTTCCAATTTCGTCTTAATCCATCTGTTTCTTAATCGTAGATTGCATCGAAACATAATCGAATAAGCACACCTATAAGTATAGAAAATTTAGCGAGAGGAACGACTAGACTAACAATGATATTCCGATTGCGAACCCTCTCTACAAAAACCTGAAAATACAAGAATCAGTAAACAACCTTTCCTGAACCATTCTTACTAAATCTTCAGATTGTTAACTTCACGAAGCAACTTCTATTTGAAATAACTACTTTCCTTTCATGGATTGAAGCTATATAAAGCTATGCTTAACTTTTATAGTTGTCAATGCGGTAACGTCTAACATATCTTTACATTTCATAAAAAATAAATAAGACTGTAAACTGTTTCTCAATCTCTAAATGTGTAGGAGCGGTGTTGAAAGTTATATATATATATATATATTACTCTGTACCAAATGTTTATCATTTATTTTTTTACATTATGACAGGTAAAACTGACATTGACCTTTTTACAACACCTAGAATCTGATATTCACGAAACAACACCAAGTATAATAAGGAAAATTAGTTAATAATCATGCATATGAAGCTATTACGCTTACGTTGGTTTTTTTTTTATCTAATTCAAAACGGAAACAACAATATAAGCCCTCTGTAAACACACGAAAATAGAAGAATAAGTGAAGAAATGATATTACTAGAATTCTTAGTTTCCTTTATCCCTAGAACATACCCTAATCTCGTAACTTTTCATCCTTGTTAGTTTTTTGTGTTTGTTGTTCATTTATGTTTTGTTTTGAAAGACCCAAAACATAATATTCAACACAGTTCCTATTGTCCTTGACTAACCAGTATCCTTCTTTCACGAGTAAATTGTTTCTATGTGCTGGTTAGTCTTTTTCTTTTTTGCTCCACGTTATAGAAAGAGGTTAACTAAAAAAATTCAAAATCACAGGCAGACATGATAAATGTTGATTTTAAATAAAAAATTTTGTAATAATACACCAACAAAAACCCATCAAAGCTTATTTTGTTATGTTAAAAACAGTTTTGTACTTCAATATCAGGTTGAGCGTGGCATTTAAACCATGAATAACATTACAGGCAACAAAGAACCACTTGGCCCTTCAAGGATGTCCCTGCAAACCCACCCCTAAGTAAAACTTTAAATCAACCATTTGTCTTTCAGAAAAGTTAATATTTTCCATATCTGAAAATGTATTTCAAACAGATACTTACCTCTCTGCACAACTAAGAGCTATTACCTTGCATGCAACTGTTGTAGAATTTCCTACGCATGACACAAGCCTCGAACAAACTCCCACCCCTACATCTGTCTATGTGTATTGTGCCAGTCTATGATGTAATCATTATAATGCTGTAGCCCTCCATCAATAGGAAGGTGACACAACCTCCATGTACAGTAATCCCCGTGAGCACTAGCATGTGAGAATAGGTTCATTCTTCATGAAGAAAAGAAAATTCACCAGAATTGGGTAGAAAGGTGGTGCAGAGAAGTATCTAACTGAAATTATAATTTTCCTATACTGAAAATGTATTTCGGATAGGTAGTTCCCTATATATAGCTATTCTCGTTCAGCGCTGCCCTCTATATGCAAAAAATATTTCACAAGCCACAAGCCTTGCACTCCCATATACCCCACAATCGTCATGGTTCAACTGCGTCTTGCATGCGACAACCCTCCACCAATAGGAATGCAACACGCCCTCCTGACGCAAGTGGCTCCATCTATTTAGTTCTACCTAAATACATAACCTTGCATTGACCATAACTAAAAGCAATTTGCCAAACTAATTGTTTAACTTATCAACTGATCCAAGTCATTGTGTAGTACCTGAACATCCTCAAAGAGATTAATGTCACTAGCAAACTTCATTAATGTAAGCAAGAAAAAGCAATGGGACAAACCACAAGAAACAAGTCTATTTTAACTGAACCCAACCTCCCTACAGTCCAATGAAATAGTTTTCTCCAATCCCTAATGATGTGATTTTTTAGTTACTTTTCTGTGTGGTACCTTATTAAAATATTTTTGATAATCTAAGTACACCAAGTCCACACATTTTCCACCATCCGGACAACAAGATCACCCTTGAAAAAAGTAATGATTTGTAAGAGAAGATTTTCCTTTAGTGAATCCATGTTGGCTTTATTTTATAGCATATTCCACTGAATGATTTTGCAAAGCCTCTGTTATCAGAAGTTAGACTAACTAGCCCATAAATTATCTTTAAAAAAACATTAATAACTCTCGAATCCTCAAGCACTTGCCACTTTTTATCGACTAATGAAAAATGGAAGAGCTAAGACTAATATCAACTTACTTCAATAAGGCCTCACTAAAAACTTCAGAAGTAGAAATAAAAACGACGTCTTAGATGTCAGCTTTCTTCTAACAAGGTATGTAATATCCATAAAATTTTATAAATAATTCTACAACAAATATATCACACTGACGTAAGTGGCATACGAATCAGGTTTCTACTAACAAGGTATGTAACATCCATAAAATTTTATAAATAATTCTACAACAAATATATCACACTAACGTAAGTGGCATACGAATCAGGTATCTACTAACAAGGTATTTAACATCCATAAAATTTTATAAATAATTTTACAACAAATATATCACACTAATGTAAGTGGCATACGAATCAGGTTTCTACTAACACGGTAATATCCATAAAATTGTATAAATAATTCTACAACAAATATATCACACTAACGTAAGTGGCATACGAATCAGGTGGAGAGAGCAGACTGTTATTTTTAGCACTGAGACCAGATTATACAGTTAGGAGTTGTGATATGTTTTCAGTTGACTTATGGTACAGTGTGTTACTGCATGTTACTTCCATAATAATGACAGAAAAAAATTAGATGCTCGATGCCATGACAGTTACAATTAAAACAAACAAGTATAAAATGTTTCATATGCATTAACGTTTATACTAACTCTGGTTTACAGAAAATATCTACACATTACAGACTACTTTGTCTGAACAGCCCTAATGCTTCATGAGAATTTTGAATGAATCTAAGTCTACACTGAACATAGTGCTCCGTTTTTATTATCATTGCATGTTTATGTTCACCAATACCTTTGCACTTCTTAAGTTCTATAACAAACACGTTAATTGTATATATTGCTTTTCACTTACCTGAAACCTAATTCTGTAAGAAACTGCACTAAGTTTTTGGATGTGCTAACATCAATGGAACTACGAACTAAAGTCGGTCTATTCTTGTCACCAACTTCTGGCTGTCCAATGTAACGAAGATGCCTGACAAGTGAAATAAAACTATACAAATTACAATTACATGACTTAATGCTAAAATAAATATAACAAAATACAAAAAGGCCAAGGTCATAGTGCATGAATTCAAATGTAATATTATGGTGTCACTTGGAGTTTTGTTGTAAAAAATAACTTGCATATCTATAATAATGACCACAAATGTAGCATTCATTACACTGATAAACTTCTGTATTGTCTTATTTTTTTAACATATTTATAATCTTTATTTTGTTCCAAACTGTAAACAAGGCCTGTGTACACGTATATAAAATATACAAGATTCAAACACCATTATTGATTCAATTTATTTTTGGCTCTACAGTTCAGAATCGTGAACTAACATACCATGAGAAGCTTTTACTTCATTGAACTGCAAGTTGATTACTGAGAAATGGAGTAAAAGCCAGCTAACAACTTACTTTAAGTGTTGATAAATGACATAGAAATAGTGAATTAAGAAGGAATTTTTAAAACTTAATGGTAATTACTAATATACATATAAAGCAAAAATAGAGTATTTACACAGCAGTAAGTTGTATATACAACTAAAAAAAAACACTGAACAGGTTTGTTCAAAACATACCCACAATGATACGCCCTGTAGTTAATAAAAACATTACAAAAAAATAAGAAAAACAAACAAATATCCTAAACTTTTATTCTTGTTTTCTTCTTATGAAGGCTTACAGCTAAATGCTATGGGGTTTATTTTTACATTCCCCTCCCTTATAAATCAGTTTTTTGTTTTTACTATTGAATTTATTTGATGTATTCCTTTTAAACTTAATGTTATATCTGTATATTATATTATAGATAAGTGATTCTGAACGTGGGGCGCCCCCCCCCCCCACAGGGGGGCAATTTGAAAATGCTACAATAAGAAAAAATTTTTCATTTGGGTGTGAAGAGCAAAAAATGTTCCGTGACTCAAAACTAAATTTCTAAATTTTACATCATATTATTATACCTTTTCAACACCAAATTTGTTTCTATATTAAGGGGGCATCAAATGTTTCGAGGTGTCGAGGTGGGGCATGGAGCAAAAAAGGTTAAGAACCACTGTTACAGATAATCCTACTCATGGTTCTTTCAAACTCCATACATAATTTTGTACTGTGTATGAACTTGTGTTTATTACAGAATTTATTTGATGTATTCCTTTTAAACTTAATGTTATATCTGTTTAATTTATTATAGATAATCCTACTCATGGTTCTTTCAAACTCCATACATGAAGTTACACTGTTTAATGTGAACATCTTTTTCCATAACAGACAGCTCTATTCATACCAATTCATTGTAGAGTTTCTTTTAGGGATCTGTTTTTTCTTCCTTTCATACTATCATTAAAATTCAGTGAGATAACCATGGTTTGGAGTTGTCTGCTAAAGGCTGAGTCATGATAGCTCAGTTCTCAGCCATATATTGCTATTGTAAGCTGAGGTTCATGATTTAGAGTTGTCTGCTCGGGGCTGAGCCTAGTAGCTCAGTTCTCAGCCATATATTGCTATTGTAAGCTGAGGTTCATGATTTAGAGTTGTCTGCTCGGGGCTGAGCCTTGTAGCTCAGTTCTCAGCCATATATTGCTATTGTAAGCTGAGGTTCATGATTTGGAATTGTCTGCTCGGGGCTGAGCCTTGTAGCTCAGTTCTCAGCCATATATTGCTATTGTAAGCTGAGGTTCATGATTTAGAGTTGTCTGCTCGGGGCTGAGCCTAGTAGCTCAGTTCTCTGCCACATAGTGTAAGTGAGATTCGTGACTGAGAGCTATCTACTCAAGGCTGAGCCAGATTTCCGCCACATGGCATTAATGTAAACTTCATGATTTAGAGTTGTCTGCTCAGGGATGAGCAAGTTCTCAGCCATATAGTGCTAATGTAAACTTAGGTTTATGACGGGGAGTTGCGTGTTAGCTCAGGTTCAAGTTCACTCTTTTAACCTCCTTTCAAATGCACCTGTTTGGAAAACAAGGCTTAAGTCAAACAGTCTGCAAACAGCATACTCATGATATAGTGGAGAGTTTCACCTCTTTAAATACAAGGGAAGAGTATTTAAAATATAGTGAAGGTTATCACACAAGTAAAACTGGAAACCTGTTTATTACCAGAAGCTTCCAATTGCTCTTCTATATTTATTGTCTGCACAGAAAATCTACCAATTATATATTTAAACCCTACTGACAGTGCACGTAATGATGAATATACATCTGAGTCTAACAAGGGAATTAATAAAAAATATAACAGAGTGAAAAATGATTTAACAGGTAGACATCATTTAAAATAATAGAGAAGAATCATCAGAAATTAGTACAGTTCATAAACTGAATAAAAAAATATTACGTGATCTTTATTTAATATTTAGTATTACACCTACCATGGGTTTCCAGGGTAGTCTAAAGCTTGCCGTGCCCTCAACACTAGAGGAGTTCCTGTAGGTCCTCCTGAGGAAATGAAATATAGCTTTAACTATTTCATAAGAGAGTTTAGGGAGGAAGGAGGACATCTGCCACATCAAGGTCACCACTCATTCATAAAAACAATCAACATAAGTGTTAAAATCAAATTTATAGTCCTTCATATCCTTATATTTATTCAATAAAAGTTTACTGCTTACTCCATATCATTAGTCAAATCATCAGCTTTATAAATTATTAGTATTAAATATATTCTTCGTGTAATGCTGTTACACTCGGGAGAGGTGTGAAATTCATATCACCAAACACTCGGAACAAGAAGATTTGTCTGAGAGACAAGTTTTACAGTTATACTTTGCCTGTTGGTACAGCTGGGCGATGAGTGAAGTATGCCAACTGATTAACTGTTTGGCTTATTAATTGATCTTATTCAACTAATCGATTATTCTCGAACGAGACTTGGAAATTTGGAATAATCAAAAATAGTGAAGATCTTAAACACCAATTTTCATTTATTTGATCATTATTATGAAATTAATGGATTTAATCATAACTTTGACAGGTGTATTTTTACTTTTTAACATCATTAATTCTCTTCTTAGTAAATACACTCTGTGCAGGTTTCTAAGGAGCCACTACAGTTCCTGTAACTTCTGAACTGTGGAAGTTGATAGATACACACACATTTAACTATGCATACATCTAAAGCTCAAACCAAAACTACATATCTCCTTATTTTACAGGCCCTCAGTCACACAAACAGTTATAGTTGTATTTAAATTAATTAGTTTTGTCTACAGCCCAAATACAAAACAACTTTAAACTATTTTTTTATGCATATACATTTAAATATACATCAAAGTCTGGAACAATACACATTGATACGTGCAGGGGTGGGAACTTTGTTCAAGGTTTATGGCATGTGCAGAAATTTACACGGTAGTGCCCATGGGGTAATAGCTCCTTGTAGTGCAGAGAAATGAGTAGTACTCCTGAACTGAATTATGAGTATAATTTTGATGGGAATAACCTTAATGGTGTTATTGAAGTAGGGATCTTGGTGTTCTGGTTCATCAGTTTCATAAGTCATCCAAGCAATGAGCTGTTGCTAGTGGCAGGGGAAAAAGAGTTTTAGCTTGTACATACAGAAATATTAAATAAAACAGCTAGACTCAAACAACAAACTCTTTCCTTATGGCCAGTGAACTTAAACTGTCCCATAAACATCCTTGAGGACATATAATGCCTTGGCCATCCATTATGCATGATGTAGTGTTCCAAGTGCTATCAATCGTATTTCACAAGGATGGATGCCCCCAAGGAAGATTATGGCTAGTTCAAGAAGCTCTCGATAATTGTTTCTAGGTTGGTTGAACGTAAATTGTCTTATAGGACACTCAACGACACTGTCCTTTATTTCCTCTACGCCTTCTGCTACTTCATCGTGGCCAGCTGCAGTTTCATAAATGGACTGGTCTATCAAGATTGCTGGAAATGATTGAAAATTGCAATATCTGGATCGGAGGAAAGCCTCATACAGTCTTCGAACACGTACGCCAGGACAAGTTCCAAGATATGATGCCAATATACCATATACTATTAATATTAGTACTATTTTGAACTTTCTGAAAGTCATTATAAGCTACTATATTCCTCGATTGCAGACGCTTAATTTCCTCTTTAAATCCTGTTGCCATTTCCCAAAGTTCACACTTCTCTTTATCCATCGTCTCTACTCCATTAAGGATAGTTTTCAATTTATCCTATAAACTTTACATACAAATAGTAAGTCTTCAGTACTACATTGTTACAATCAGGCAAATCACAGAAACGCTATTGATCGATAAATATTGACCTACTCTTTATTTACCCTGCTAGCTCCTTTCCTTAAAATTATATACATGATCCTTTAATTTTCTCTATTGTATATGCACATATATATCAATTTTATTTTTCAATTACTAGTACCACACTATAATCTTGAAGTTTAATTGTTTTCACAGAAAGACGGATTATGCGTAATACCAAAATAAAATGTTTATTTTCACCATTATCTTAATGTTCTTGATTAAATTACGATTCCCAACAAATAAATCCACTGCCAGTATCTCTTAAACATGACTGTTGTCCTCTCACTTTTGATCTAATACCAGATAAAGAAGTTTCCCCCCCCTTTAATAATGAACTTCATCAAAAAATTGAAATATGTAAAATTAAAATTCTGATTACTGCTGGTAATGTCACTTACTGATTTGATAGGCCATCTCGTAATCATTAAAATTTTCTGGGGTCAGTTCTGAGTTGTCACAAAGACCTCGCAATCTGTGCAATAAAACTTCACAGGAATTGTCCATGATACTTCCCTGAAGCAAATATTCCTGTTGTGGAACTGCACTGACAGGCCTGCGTCCTGTTGGTTCCATGATTAACTAAAATATACCTGTAAATAAGATACTACTTCAATACAAATCATCACAAGTTCTATCAATCATTACTTATGACAAGTTCTACAGACAAAATAACTAACAAGACCAAACAAGGTTTCAGAACAATGAGAAGTTTGTGGAGAAAACTTAATCACTTATTAAAAATGAATTAAAATTTTATTCTCACAATTTACTGATATATGTCATTCCAGTCTTTTAGAATTAACACTGTTTGAGGTTAATTTACTTGAGAACACGTGATGTGCTGATTGTGACTAGTGTGGATTAAAATATTTTGTGGAACAAAATTGAAATAGGGAATTTTATGAGGCAAATCCCAACCATAGTTCAAAGAAATTCCTGCTCCTGAGGTTAAGCACATGCAGAAAAGGAGTAAACTCCTCAAAAGAGCTTGTACCCCCACGAAGAGCCCACTCCTCAACTGAAACATAGGTTTAAATAAATATACTACTGTAGCAACCCTACCCTCCATCTTATCAAGTTATACACAGACTTCAACTACAGTACGGCTAACATTAAATATCTAAAACTTTAGAAGAAACACATCTCTTAGAAAATGTAGCCACTTAATGCAAAGTATTTTACTCATTTCAAGTAAAGCAAATAAAATGAAAGACTTCAATGAAAATGCAGAAGTTAGATATAAATGAAAGTATGACAAAATTCAGATATTTAAGAACAACAGAAATGTTATTAAAGAGTTGTGAAAACAGCAAAGCAAAGTCAGTAAGAAATGTTAACTTCAGTAAAGTGCATATGATTCCACTAATACAATGATACATACACCTACAAGTTAATAAGAAATCATGAAACCATGCTTCCTCAATATTCAGGCTACATGTTCACAATTTTATTATTATTAAATTATGAGTTAGCTGACTTAATGATAGTGTAACGTAATTTTTACTTTCGGTTTAATAATTTAAATCTGAAAGTGAAATGTATTACTTTAAGTGTAACTTGTTTAGTTGTTTCTCTGACTGAACTTGTTAAATCAAACTTCACGCAATACCGGAGTCAGACTAAAGGGTTACTTTTTGTTACATTTTTCCAATATAAAATGTACAATGAGATATATTAACGGAAGTGTCACGTTAAGTCAAAATTATAACATAAATTGCATTTAACTTTTAATATTTAAGTTAGACTTACAAGTTACACGGCAAAATGAAAATGTTTCGAAAACAGATTTCAAACGAGT